AGATCAACTTGAATTCGCTCTGTTACTTCGTTATGTTCTCTTTTTCCTTTAATATATTTTCTAAATTGTCGTAAATATTTTGATTTGGAATTTGAATTTCGAATATTTTTATTTGTCGATTTTCTTCAACTCTGACGAAATATTCATCATCTAGTAACATGTGTTTCGTCATTTTCTTTTTTCAACGTAACTTTTGGATTTTATATGATTTCTGAAATGACATTTTCGAACAGAATTGTCGAACACATTGATAATTATTGTTGATACTATTCTTCTTCTTACGTTAGTTCTGATTCAAGCATTATCATCAAAGAATAGCATATTCAGAGCAATATGGAAGATACGTAGTAATTGGTTTCTTTCGATTCTCTTCGAATTTTTAAATTTTGCTAGTTGTTCGAAAATTCTCTGAGCAGTCGTTTCCCTGATCTAAGTCTACCAAACAGAATACTGGACATCAGAGTTTTTGATTTTCACTATAAAATATGTAATATTACTCAAAAATACTAGAGAAGCTCTGGTCGTTACTCAAACGTAACTCAAGTTAACATCATACTCGTTTTTTTTGTCCTGATTCGACTCTTGATCTGTGTTAACCCTCTAATTGATTTTGTTGGTTGCAGTATTTTATTCTCTGCAGAGTGCTATGTTCTTACATTTTGTTTTTGAAAAAAGTCTTTCTTAGAACATGCAAAGTACGATTTCAAATAAGTTTAAAACCGAGTGTTCCAGATCAAAAACCAATTTTTTCTAGAAATGAGCGCTTCATTTCAAGTAATCATTAACAATTGCATCTAGTGATACACTAACCTTGGATATAATATGAAAAATATTTTCAAGATGCAACACAGAAATATAGTGTGAGTTGAAATCATGCATGGAGCTAGAAATCGCACGCACATCGGCAGATATGTCGATGAAGTCGAGAAGAATGAACAATGCTTGACATTGCAACATTATTTCAACGTAACAAATATTCATACAATAAATCCGATGAAAAAATTTTCTTCGAAACTTCAAATATCACGCTATAATGATGAATCCTATTCGGTAACGACATTTTTACTGAAAAAAGCAAGAATGATCATTGGCTTTTTGTATTGTACAGAATGACACAGAAAGCGACCGCTACTTCTTTCATTCTTGATAGTGACAAAATACTCCTTCATTTTCTTCGAACTATCGAACCTCTGTCATTACCAAACTATTAAGCAAGTCTTATTGTATGCAGCAAGAACAAACGTCAAAGAGAACGACAAAGTTTCTCATCAGGTATATATATAGTGACATGTAGATTTCATTTAGCTCTGATTAACTTGAACATGGCTACCATCACTCATCTCATAAATTTTGACAACAAGGTCTTTTACACTATATTCGATTATTTCGATTGTTTTGATTTTTTCTATTCATTTTCATATATAAACGGACATCTCAACAGGATATTGGATTCAGACCATGGGTTGTGTGAATTTATTACTGATCTAAATTTTCATTTTTACTATGAAAATATTCTTTGGCGTGTTGCATCTTGATTAATTTCATTGCAATTAAAAGAATTTTATTGTTAGATATTATCAAACGAAAGAACACCCACAATACAATATTCATTATACATTTTCACCTGATCACTATATATTCAACTGGATAAATATATTATGAACGAAGTTTGCACAGAGTTACCAATGTTTAGTTAACCTACTATTCGATATTTGGAACTTTCTTCCTCTGTTTATTCATATGATGTTGAACAGGCGCTCATCGCATGTTCAAACATTGTAACACTCAGTTTCCAACGATGGACAATAGGCAATGAGTGATCAAGAATTGAGAACAAGTGTTGTCAAAATATGGAAACAATCTAATGAATCTTTTTTGTACGCAAGTAAGAGATTTTATTTGTATGGTGCTTGATGACTAAGTAGACACCAAAGAGGTGTTCAACGAACTTTAACATTTCGAAAGCTTTTTATATAGCGATATTTTTGGAAACACCTTTAGCTAGTCACAATGGCACTTGATTTTTCTTTCTTTTCTGAGTCAAAAAACCAAAATAAAAATAGAAATTTAGTTGCTACAGAAAAAAAGTGATCCAGTGAATATTTTATCATCATTTATGAATATTCTTAATTGGAATCAAATTTAGAGAATTTGCACAATACTTTAAGTTAATTGTTTAGGCCATAAAGTTCTTTATGGAATATCGACTGCTTTTAATATACCTATTATAAGATTCAAAATTGAAATATAGAAAATAATTTGATCGGCAATTGTTCAAATCATGGACGCTACAAATGATCTTCCTCCTGAAAATATAGATCAAGATCAATCTCGAATTTTGTTCAAATACCCGATATTAAATTTGATTTGGGTGTAAGTGTAGCTGTAAATAAAAGAATACACCTACAACCATACCCTACCTTTTTACCTATTATAGATCCTACTAATTGCCGACAACAGACATCACATTCTATCATCTGAGTCCACTAGCAACCGAAACAGCACTGAGCAGCATGAACAACAAGACCTCGACGACCCCTAAAGCATTCAGAAGCCATTCTAGAAATTCGAATGGACAGAAAGCCTTCGCCAATGTTCTCAGTATTGCAAATTTTGATGTTTGCACAGATGAAAATTAATATTCAAGATCTTTGGAACGATAGACTATGATGAATTGATTTGCCGCAGTCGTCATCTGATCCTCATAAAAATAATGAATTGATAAAGTTATAACTTTGAAAAATCGTCAACATCAGTATTCGTACGTTTATCAAGATACATAATGACCCATTAATACCTGCTATAGATTTAATGAATACATGTGACAGGTTTATTTGTTAGCTCAGTCAACGGTTAGAATGAATGTAATTTTAAATTAAGAAAAAGAAATGTGAACTAAACAATAACAAGTGCACAGGAACAAAGTAAAAACAAATACGTAGCTTGTAAAAAAAATATGTCACGTAGAAACGCAAAACGAAATAAGGCGGATTATCTTTTGATGATTGATTATCTAGGAAAACAAGTAACATCTGCGAGAAGCTTTCCACAATGTGTGTTCTGTATCGTTAGACTCATGCTAAAAATGCATATAAGCACCACATTTTAGAGCCACAGAAGCCGCACTGACCAGCTTTCCATTTTCCCGATTTATTTTGACTCTACAATTCAATTTTAAATGCAACTCAATGTTTCCAATAATTCTAACGAAAAAAAAACATATTCACTCAGTTAAATTTTCTATTATATTGCTGAATTAAAATAGATCTTAACAAAACGCGCATAAATTCGTATTTAAAACGATCCTCTTTTTTCTTCACATTTATCTTGATTCAACAATGTTATTGTACGTTCAACTCAATATATAGCGAATCATTTTTTTTTTACTTTTACAAAATATTTTATATTTTGAAATAAACGTATCATTACATTGCAAATTAAGATAAATGAGAAGAACAATGATTAACTTAATAATAAAATTCATTTGTTTAGAAATTTATCTTGGCTCAAAAATGTAATGGTAAGTTGAATAGTATCATTAAACGTTCCATAAACCCTTAAAGGATTTATTATTCTACTCTTCTTTTTTTTTACAGCCCACAGCGACATCACATTGCGACATGTTCCATACAAATCGGCTTGAGAATGAAAAATTGTTCCGTTACGTGAAACATGTGTTGCTTTCTGCTATTTTCTTATCACATGTTTCTTCATTTGTTGTATTTTTGTTTTACTGGTGATCCAATAGTAACAGTCAGCTACGAAATTTTAGTACGTAATCTATTGATATAAAGCATAGCGAGAAAAGACAGTCAATGTCGAACACGATATTCACTAATGCACTTTAGTGAAACTCACTTTTAAAAGCTGATTTTTATAACAAATAAAGTAAAACACTAATGCCGACTATTTATGCTATTAACTTCTTCTGATAAACTAAAACTTCGGAGTGATAGACGAAAACTAAGAAGTTGATTTTTGCGACATCTAACATTGCATATGTCATATATTTATTTTATGCTGAACCAACACTGTAGTGTAACGTCCTCAATTGCGTGAAACTAATTTTATTGAAAAAATAAAAGCGGAGTTTGAAAGAGAATCTATTTTAAGGTATTTCTATCGTATTTTTATCTTTCAACTCTTCATAAAAACCAGATAGTGCATTTCAACATGGATTCGGTGATTCATCGATAGGGGATCATAGGCTATTTTTTTCTTCTGATTATGCAATATTTGTTGTCGTAAGAACAACACAAGAAATGTCCTTACACATGCTAATGATGTTAGAAAAAAGTAACTCAAAAAATCAAGTTTATCATACAATCAATTGCGATATTGTATAAATTAATACTCATAAAACTTGTAACAATGATTTCGATGGTTGGTTTCAATGTTGGAACAAATGTTATCAAAATATTTCATTGACAATGTGGGATGTTGATAGTTGTAATATAATATGACCTTTAATTAAACATTATTTCGTCGATAAATGAAATCACCACTTATCTGTTTAAATAATATTGGTAAAATAAATGGAATGACATTTAGAATATGTTAAAGAAAAACTTAGATTAAATCAATTCTGACATCATCAGCATCTTGTAAAGCATCGGAATCAATTTATTTTGCATATCTATTACTTATAATTGGTCCAGTGCTGGTCGAGAAAAGCACTTCTGCACTTCTCATGAAAACTTACAAGCGTGCCTCGCTAGATGATATTCGTCGATTGAAATAATATTTTGCCGCTTATTGGGATTCTGTAAGGTGATTAGATCTTCACTTGTTGGTGAATTAGTTGAGCAACATTTCTACTGAGATATTTGCATTCATATGCAGGTCTTCATGTTTTATTGTAATTGTTCTCTTATTTGTTCAACATTTTTACATAGATGCACAATGTGCAAATGTTTCTTTGTAACTTTTTCTCGTAGAGTTGAATTTTTTATGTTTGTTGTTTAATTATTTAATTTTTTTTTTGAAAGATCTCAGCAAGAATGCCGCACGGCTGTAACCATGCCCAACAATTACAAGTAATGAACGAGTCAATTTTAAATCATTTATTTCTTCCATTGCATCTGCCATCCTCTGCGGAGTCTGATTTTTGTATTCGATCCAATCATCGCAATGAACACATAATACTGGAATGTATGAATGAATTCTTGAATTCGTTCGATGCGAGTATGGTATTACCAATCATTCGAGTTCTGACCGATTGCACACAACGTTGGTCTATGTTACAAAAGAGTCCTAAAATCTCAGTATCTAATCTACAATCCATCATTGAACAAGTCCCGGCTGGTGGTTTTCTTCCTATATATTTTCATGCACAAAATGCTGCCATTTTGATCGAAATCGATGACAACAACATCAATCAACCATTAATTTCCTCTTGGCAAGTTCTATTATCGAATGATACAATTGTATCCTCTATTCAACCACATCTATCCTGTTTTCCGATGACAACTTATAGATTATCCGATCGTTCTTATCTAACCTCGACGGTCCATTGTGAATTATTAACGGACTTCTTGAAAAATACGATTGAATATCCAAAATCTTACAAAGCCTCTCGTGAAGTAACGGAAATACGGGATGTACCTGTGTCGCATTATGTATGTCAGTGGTGGATTCAGCGATTTCCAGGAATTACCATAGAAAACAGCTCTCACACATTAGTTCAATTCAATAAAAAGCATCGTGATCAAGTGAGATGGAACAATGGACATTTACCTTTTCGACGTTCAGGTTTATGGATGACCATCAAGGTGGTTTTTCAAACTATTCTAACCAAACGTTTAGGAAATATTGGTACCACCGTTTATAAATTGTTGATAACCCATTTTTTAACATATATGATTTACATGAGACAAACTGCGATGGATTCTATTCTAACCATTGATCTATTAGTTCATTGTCTCCGAAAAATTCTACGCCGATTAAATAAAATCGAAAGTTCATTGCCGACGATCGATTCCAATGATATCAACAAATGGATTCAATTGACGAAACATGAAATACAGAAAAGAATTGATGAAATCTTTCCGAATATGGATTGGCAAACATCGATTAAGATTAATGAAGAACAAAACAACAAACAACTGCTGATTGATTCGAACCTGAATGATCCAGAACTCTATCGACATTCATGTGAAGCATTCAAAAATTATTTAAATAGTGATAATTCGAAAATCTCGCATAAAACATCGTTCAACTTCCCGATCTGTGATGATATGATTGATATCGAACAAGGACATTTCATCCATTCTTTCAATGTTTTAACCAATCAATTCAAATATACGGTTGGAACAGCCTTGAGTCAGATGGAAATTTGGGCTATATCATGGGCAGAGCAATGGATCAGTGGGCCAGCATCAGGTCGAAAAGAGACAGAGCATTTTCAGATGTTATTACGATTCTTCGAAGATTATCAGAATCATGCACTAATGCATTACTGTCCGGAAAAATGCACAACAGATCCGATCGGCTACACTCGATTTCTTCTGACATCATTAACAATTATTCGTGCTATGCATCAAAAGTTATGTCAGGATAAGAAACTTGAACGACTACAATTTCATTGCATTGACATTCCAAATATGATGGACCTTTTCGAATATTGGATCTTACCGAATCGTGAAGATATGATTCGAGCTCGTGATCTCTATGAATATTTCAACAAGTTCAAACATAAATCATATCCTGATCTTTTGACCAATATCGAGGCAGAAAATAGTTTCGGTGTTTATTTTGCTGCTCAGTCGACTAAGATAAATAATTGTCTTCGAAAAATTCAAACCCAGACTGAACAAAACAAGACAGCGAAAATTCAGGAAGTGCAGCACGCCAAAGACAAATATCATCGGCTTATGAATTCAATCAATGGTTGTCCTTGTATGTGTTATGGTGTACTTGATTCTAGGCAATGCCGTCGATGTCGAATTGAGCAACAAGCAAACAACATTCAAGTTAGCATTTACGAGTGTCCAGTACCGTCCCAACGAGCCAGTGCTTTAGCCGTTATGTTTGAATTACGAATGCCAATTGAAGTTAGATGTTATCGCGACGTTCTTTGGCAGTTTGTCAATCGTTCTCAACATCGACCAGAGCGTCGCATGTATGAATGGTTAAGAGTTCGTCCTCATTCGTGCACATTAGAACCATTATTTACTGGTCCAAGTGATTGCAAAGTTAAGTTAGTTTCTTCCACGAATTCAATTACACAAAGTCACATTTCTAATCCACCGATTGCATTGGCATCGATCGATGACTTCCTGTATGAAAATAGTCTCCAAGTCGAAATATCGCCCACTCAACCCCTTTCATTCCAGGACGAGTGTCAACGTTTAACACCTCAGCTGAATCATCCCGATTACAAACATTTACAGTACTCTGTCATATCCACACAATTCGTACAAAATCGAGTCATAGCCGATCTGTCACATACTCGACATAAACTCAAACCAAATCAGTTTATTGAATTCGGGTCATTTCGTTCAGGTCATCGATTGCAATGGTGGAATCTGTTGGCCATGCTGGAAATGGATTCTTTGTCGCTGAATGAGGAAAGTGTCGCTGTACTGATTATTCATGCCATATTGCAATATGGTCCAATGACCGAAAACCCTAATGAGCTAATCTTTCCTTGGTGTTCCGAATCACATCAGCAACTACTTGATGATCATTTCGTTGACGAATTACTCGTGAGATTGAATCGTCATTTACTTGATTGTGCGTCAAATTGGCAGAATGAATTGGTACTAGTGGTGATAACAATAATTACTATGAGAGTGTTGACTATATGCAATTCAACCCGAGAAGATCAAGTCATCGATTTAGCTCTTAAATGCCGTCACATTGGTGAAAAATGGATCGATCTGATTTCGGTATCAGATTTGGATGAAACAGAAAGTCTCCGCCTTAATATGGTAATCATAGGTGTGGCCTGCCTGTTCACTTTTTCAACTCATATGGACCGCATCCATTGTATTTTCTCATCGAATCAGCACATGATCTCGTTACTGAAAGCAGTAACGACCGTGCATGATAATCTCGTTTTAAACAAGAAGCAAACATCTATGAGCATCTTTATAAGAGATCTAATCCAATTAACTGAACGTGTCTTAGTACAAATACAGCCTACAGTAGGAGAATTTCTGAAAAAATCGTCCTATCAAAGTTTAAATGATTTTTCTGCCATTTATTGGGCAGTGATCAGAAATGAAGATACGATCGATGGTCAGTGGAAGAAACGGAACAAAAATATCTATGATGGTTGGTATGATGGCCAATATGAATCGACTTATTTATCGATTGACTGTTTACGCGGCATATTTTTAGTGAATGGAATGAGTGTTGGTTATTTACCGGAAAAAATTCTCTCCAATGAATTATATTTTCGTGTTTTTGACCATTATATCTTTCAAGTACAAGTGGCTGACTCACCCAATACATATATTACCAAATATGCTTATCATGGTGACGGACGAGTTCGATATGAATTTCATTTTGATGATCAACTGAATCGGCTTATTGTTCATGAGAGGTATGTCAAGACGAATGAAATATTTGAACTGATACCTTCGAAATGTTTTGAAACTGAACTACCAATCGCATTTGTCTCCGAATATAGTCATTGGAAAAGTTTGAAAGATCAAATAATCGAATTTCGACCGATTCATTTTAAAGATCCGGACTTTTTCAATTACAAACCATATGTGTTAAATATTGAAACAGGCTATGTGACGACTATCAACAGTATGAAAACTCAAATTTTAGTTAATCAATCCTCATCGCTTTTCCAGAATTGGTTTACACGGTATTTCAGTCGTCTCGATGAAAAGCCCTATGTGTATATGATGCGAGATGATGCTTCAACCGTTATTCATATTCATCTCTCCCGCTTGGCAATTGCCTTCAAATACGATACAAGCAACCATTGTTTTACTTCGCGTGAATATTCGGATATGTGTATTGATGAAGATCAATGGTTAGGAACACTGACAGGTTTGAAATTTGGTCTGCTCCTATCGTCAACGAAAGCATTCAATCATAGTCGAAAGCTGATCGTCCCTTTTGGGCATGTCGATGCAAGACGAAGATCGTCTTTTGACCATCAGATTGTCACTATTCAACGAAAGCCATCAATGCCGTATGCTCATCAATATTTCGTTTTTACTTTGAACGATCGATTACGTATCATTCAATCAACGGATAGCCCTACCGGATGGTTATATCTGGCGTTACTTCATGCTCTGACATCGCATCCTCTACCGGATCAATATACAGGCATGAGTGGAATGGAACGTGCTTTTCAATTGCTAAATTCCGCTGGTTGTTGGACTGATCAACCGTTCGATGCACTTTCTTTACATATTCTTCGTCAAATTGCTGTCATTTCACCCAGTGCGAATTATTCTCGACAATATTGTACTTCTATGGAAACGATTAATTGGAGTTATCATAGTATTCCGTATTCATTGCAACATTGTGGGTATTATCTGATAGCAAAAAAGCTGCTCGATACCAGTGAGAAATTCAATTTCATGCATTTATCGTCACATACCCATGAGATGTTAAAACTAGCCGATGAGAATGAATATGATGAAAGATTATTGGCAAAACTATATTGGGACTATCGTGATTCACACAATTCAATTGCACGATTATCTATCGAAATTGAAGAGGAACTACTGGATACAAGAATGGAAACGCCATATCAGCCGACTTCCGGATATGATACGTCGGTCGAAAACCATGAACAGGTTCATCTTGTTAATGATGTGTACCATAGTGGAGATATGCGTCTTAAAGACATTTCTGAACTTTGTTGTTTTCCTTTATCTCAATGGCTCACAGATGAATATAGACTTAACATTGTTTGGATTGGTTTGTTAAAACTAGCTGATTCGATCAAGACAGCTGCAACTAGTCATGGTAAAGAAGATCTTGAACGATTTCAACTGCTGTTAGACTTTCTTCATTACATATCTGGCAAACGCGCGATCCGACCAATTTATTTGCAGATGTTAAACACCGTCTTGCAAGTGCCTGCTCTATCATTGAAATCGATCACGTTTCCCCCGTTTACTCAATATCATAATATTCAGCAAGTTTCAGTGATCATGAGTGCCATCGATTTCAACTGGAATCATTCAGCAAGTGAACGTAGATCGATTATGGAAGAAGTGAAAAGTTGTTTGGAGTTGGGTTATACCTACAAAGATCATTGTCGTCTGGCAACCTCTGAAGAGAAATATCAAATAAAATTTTTATTAAAATCTTGGCAATTAAACCGAAAACTCCAGACATTTCTAATTACCATTCAAAATCTGATCTGTTCTTTTGCTTTCATTCCATGGAACACCCGAGTGTCCGTTTATTCTCAAGAATTTCTACAAAAGGCCATCGAAGATCATCATCAAATAGAAGTTAAATCGACGGAGAAACAAATCGACCCAAAGTTACTTCTCAATGCTCAACAAAAGTATTTCTATCCGAATTCACACTCCTTTATCAAGTCAACCTTCAGTCTTCAAAGTGTTAATCTACAGAAAGAGTTTCCAGCCGACATTTTCTCTTCCATCGATGATCAACATATTCATCTCAGTAACATTGGCAATTACTTTAAGAATCATTTAGCAGAAAGTTGGAAACAACTACAATCCACTGAAACCTACCAAAGAGAATACCCTACCAAGGAGGAAATTACTCAAGTTCTTCAATCTTTTCAACAAGAATCGATTCAATTCTGGAAAGAATTAATAAAATCCATTACTACTACCAATGAACAGTTATTCCAAATAGGTTTGGCACCAAGAACAACTCCAGCCATTCTTATATCTATGTTTCAACAGATTTGGCTTAACGAAGAACATCAACAATCTTTCAAGCCACTCTTTAACAAAGACCAATGTACACTTTTTGGGGGACTTATGGTCAATTGGATTGTTGAACAGCAGATCGAGAGAGCTTTATATTATGCCTATCACAATAAACGAGAAGAATTCGAAAAAGAACTATCGAATACCCCACATACCAATTGGACACCATCAAAGCATCTACCATGGTTAATCTTTGAACTAGAAATGAACATAACCATTCGTGAAATTCAAGTGGATGTTGCCCGTCACATGATGCAACTCTCACCCGATGGTACTCAAGCAAGAAATATCGTCATGCAAATGAATATGGGCGAAGGAAAAACGTCGGTCATTATACCAATGTTAGCACTTAGTCTATGCTCGCCTCTATCAAGTTTGGTTCGTGTCGTGGTTTTGAAATCATTATTTAACATGAATTACCAAGCATTAAGATTTAAATTAGGTGGTTTATTGAATCGGCGTATTTTTTCGTTTGCTTGCCGTCGAGATATGGATTTCAACAGCGTCCAAGTGAATCAAATCTTTAATCGACTTCAACAAGGCTTACGTTATTGTGATATCATATTGGTTTCACCTGAAACCATTCTTTCGTTCGATTTGTTAACAATAGATAAATGTCGACGTCACGAATTTGATACGGCTCGTTCGATGTTAATGGTACAACGATGGTTAAAAGCTTTTGCTCGAGATGTTTTAGATGAATCGGATGAAATTTTACATTGTAAATATCAATTAATTTATACAGTTGGTGCTCAACAACAAGTAGACGGAGGCGTGGAACGCTGGAAACTTATTCAATGGATATTGAACTCAGTTAAAAAATTTGCTGCGGACATCGCACAAAGTGATCCTGATGATATTTGCTATAAATCATCGAAAGGCAAAAGTGCTTTTCCGGAATTTCGGTTATTATCACATCAACCATTTCCTAAACTATCTACAAAAATTATGCATGACTGGCTCAATCAAAAATCATATCGAAAAACAGACAAGCAATATATTTTATCGTTCATTTTCGATATGAATTCCTCAGTCGATGCTCTCATCAATCGATTCCCATCGAATGATATTCAATTGTTTCTTATTATTCGTGGTTTACTATCAGCCGAAGTCTTATTGGTCGCTTTAAAAAAACGTTATCGAGTACATTATGGTGTCAATCTTCATTCGAGTTTTAATCGATTGATGGCCGTACCGTTTCGAGCTAAGGATGTTCCTGCAGAAAGAACCGAATTCGGTCATCCGGATACTGCACTCGTCCTGACACAACTCTCGTACTACTACAGTGGTTTGAATGATTCGCAAATGCTTCAATGCTTCGATCGTTTAAGTAAAGAAGAGCGTGAACCGGAATCGATTTATGCTGAATGGATTTCGCACGAAGATGAAAATGATATTCCTCAAAGTATAAAACAATGGAAAGGAATCTACCGAAAAGATTGTCAACAGGAACTCCGTCCAATCTTGCTTACTCTACGCTACAATATGTTAGTCATCAATTATTTCTTGAATCACTTTGTCTTTCCTCGAGAAGCAAAACAATTCCCTTACAAATTGATTTCCTCGGCTTGGGATTTATCTTCAGCAGCGCGAACAAATATCATTACCGGCTTCAGTGGTACGAATGATACACAATTGCTATTGCCCTTGCATATTCATCAGTGTGATTTACGTCAGTTGCAACAAACTGATGCCATTGTTGTTAACAATTTATTACAACCGGAAAATGAAAATTACCGATATTTATCCGTCAATGCGACCTCAGAGACGATCTTATATGCAATAGCAACTTATCAATCGACTATCAACGTCATTCTGGATGTGGGTGCTCTATTTATTGACGGTACAAATCGTGACATAGCAGTCCATTGGTTGAAACTATCAGATAAAGCCAACATCGATTATGCGATTTATTTCGAATCCGATTATATCGTTGTTTGCGATCGACAATTTCATCATCATTCATTTCTAACATCACCTGCAAGCGAACGACTGGATCGTTGTGTCATTTATTTAGATGAAGTGCATACGAGAGGAACTGATTTCAAATTTCCAAGTGGATTCAAAGCTGCAGTTACTTTAGGAAATGGTTTAACTAAGGATCGTTTTGTACAAGCATGTATGAGAATGCGTAAATTAGGAGAAGGTCATTCTTTGACGTTTTGGAGCTCAGATGAAGTACATCGACAAATTGTCTTATTGAAGAAACGTTTACTACACTGCGAACACATTGAATCCTGCCAAATCAAAGATATTTTACGTTGGGTATATGAGAATACACAACAAGCCACTTGGGATGGATTGCATCATTGGACGGTACAAAGTCTTAGTTATCAACGTAAAGTCAATGCTTTTCAAAACATTCAGTGGACTAATCATCATCAAGTTTATACAGATCAAATGATGGAAGAGTTAGCGGAGAAATGCTTAGAACCGGAAATAATTGAATTGAAACAGATGTATGGTGTACCCAAAGTATTGCAAACCATATCAGAGATATACACAATTCGCTATCAACATTCGAAAATTCTTGCTTCAGAAAAGCTTCATCATGCTGTATTAGAAAGAATCAATGTGTATGGTGGATCGAAACAGCGTCTGTCTCAATTTTTTGATGAAGAGCAACAACGAGAATTAGAACAGGAGTTAGAGCAAGAACAAGAACGAGAACAGGAACACGAGCAAAAATGTCCTCGACCTATTCGACCATGTAACCCCATCCTTCACAAAGAAATCAAAATGCTTTGCAATCCAGAGGATTCTATGTTGGACTTGGCCAAGTTACCTTTGGTGTTTTGTCCGTTAGCATACGCATTCTTCGATTCGACATTCTTTGAAGTATGTCAACCCAATAATTGGCAACCAAATTTTTGGGTGTCGACAGAATTTCAACGAGTGATTGAAAATAGAGAAGAACCATTAGATCTATTTTTACGTCCTCCACGTTGGATAATAGTCTATCGAAATGAGCATATTATTTTTGTCAACGCTTTTGAAGCCAATTGGTTAATGGGACAATTGCACCATCGTTGCCACCAGGAAGAATCGAACGGACCATTGATCACTACATTACGCTTATTATTGCCGCGTCTCAAGCGAAATCAATCGATCTTCGTCGATACACCTGCCCTGACGATTCCCCATGATCCTAATGCTTTCGTTTTGCCCGTGGATTGGTTGGTTCAATTATTCGTCTTCAATGGTACAATTTATTTCGAAACTATTGAGGAGCAAACGGCCTATTGTCAATGTTTAGCTCTGTGTCTCAAACCTCGAACGATGATCGAAGAAAATGCTTTTGAAAATGGTTGGATTGCGGTTGATGGATTTGTTCAAGACCCAGAACACCGTTGCCAGTTACAGATTCATCGAGCTCGATTCAATTCTAATCCGTTGGCATTCGTCAAAGAACTCCTTAAAAATCGAAATGATACTTATGCACCTGTAACGTCACATATTGGAAATATTATTTACAATTCTTTCAAATCTCTTACCCCTGAGCAAAGTTGATTATGTTATTTGACTGTTCGACGAATGCTCAATTTATCAACAGTCTAAAACCAGATTTTGAAATGGCTTTTTCCCTTTACATAATTCAGGTCTATAATTGTAAAACAAGTTCGAAATAAAAACTGTATTCATCATATGATGAAAAAAGTCTTCTCATCACTATAATCCAGTTAAACATGAACGCTCAAAAACGCATGTATTTGCGAAAATATTTTCATGTTCTCATATTTTATATATGACCTAGCACGTTGTCGAAATTTTTCCAAATTTTCACGTTAATATGCAAGGCACTACTGTATGTACGGATATGCATGTGATATTTTCTATACTCATACAAGAGATACAGCTCGCGTGGCCGTGCTAAAATAATGACCACATGTACAAACAAGTAGACCATTCCAAAGATAACTAGCATCACGATGAGCTTGCATCGTCAAGCAAAATCTCGCAATTTTAAATTACAAATGCTTTGTCATGCAAGAATTTAATTGGTCCATTCCATTTTTGTTGAGAACAGATTTACTTTTCTAAAATCAGCAATATCTACTAAAAAAATGTTTTTTTTTAATACTGGAACAGCATTAGATACTTGTCTACACGTACGACTTTGAATAGATCAAATGCTCACGATAGATACAAATTTTAGATGAAGTTCTAATGTAAGTATATGGTCGAGTGGGAAAGAAGATAGTCTGATGAAACATTGTAACTTCGAATTATACATTCAGAAATGAACTTTGCATGATCATGCATGTTTCTTACATGAGACTTCATTTTTGACTGGTCTACTTTTTTTGTTTGTATGTACAAGCTAAAATTATCAAGCATTAACATGTAACTTTTCTACAGAAAAAAATTATATATTTACGCACTTGCGAACAAAAAACGTGAGCCTGCATTTGACTGGTTGGTCAGTTATTTTCAAAGATTTACGAGTGCTCTGATTGCACTCAATTCAATCTTCACATGTTTCGATCATTACTGCGTGCGAAATAAGAATCGAACGAGCCGTTCTTCTGTTTTTGTCTCATTTGAGTTTAAAACAAACAATTTTCTCCTCAGCCAAGAACAAAAATTGTTGCGTAATAAATGTCTGACATCCCACCGAGAGTCTGCATAGAAGGAGAAAAAAGAAGATTTAAAGAGGTGCATGATTTTATTTATAAAAGCATAACAAAGGCTTGCACCACAATCAAAAGTCGATAAATTAGTGTACAATGTTCAATCAAGATTTATTCATTCTATTCGCCTGTATCTAAGAAACTGACTATAGGATTTTATAGAGCAAACTTTTCTCTACAAAACCTACTACGTCATATTTCTCCAGAATATAGCCATTTGGAGATATGTCAATCGACTTCTCCTTACATTTTATCCTATTTTGCAGTGTTTAGTATTTTATCTATAACATCGTTATTTCTCAATGAAGTTCGAAAAGTTTTTTATTAAAATGATCAGTGGAAAAGCTTTACAAAGTTTAATACGAAAGAAAATTTGCTGAATATTTTGTGATTTTCTTTTATTGACTACCCACGCAACTATCCTATAATATTTAATACGAAAATTTATGTATTTCAATCTTGTCGATGCATTTCATCACTAGCCTTAGCTAGAGAACTGAAACTTTTAGAAATACATGTGATAAAAATTTCAGCCCTATACGTCAAGAAAAAGTATGAAAAATATCATTAACAATTTATCCTCAGTTATTACGGGACACACTTTATTGTATACATTGTACTTTCACTATTGTCACTGTTGTTACATAATTTAGTTCTTTTATAATTATAAATACATATTTAGTGACATTTTAATCATAAGGAGTGAGCTTTTTATTGCACTCTGTACTATCAACTATGATCGTTATTAGAGTAACGAAGAAGGGAAAGTTGGGATTTATCCCGTGAAAATATTACACTGGACATTTTCCAACATTTTATGGCGTCAAAGAGTCTATCCTTTCTACGTAAGCACAAAACATCTTTCAATTCATCTGAATTAATCATTCAAATAAGAAGGAAATTTGATCGCAACACAGCTTGTTTTGCTTTGTTTTCAATTAAAATATCACGAACAGCATGCAGCAAACGAAACAATCATTCTCGACTAATCCATTTTTTAAACATCGAACACCAGTGCAAAATGGATGATATACAAAAGTAAAAATTACAGTCTTTAACTGATTGATTAAAACATACGGCATGGTAGAGTATGAGAAATTTCTTTTTACAGCTCAACTACTGTGCATAGCAAAACAGAAAAACCCTAAGTATACATTAAAAAGTCAAGGATTCATGCGTCGAGTGGTCGAAATCTGAATATATATGTCGTATCGAAGTTACACCGATCAACAAAGTTACTTCAATTGAACTAAATAACAAATGAATATCAATTAATTCAGAATATTAAAAACTATATGTTAAATTAAGTTCACCGTTTTATTTCAAAAAGATTAATATCACTTTTTGCGACTAAGCATAGAAGAAATTATTCAGAAAAATCAAATATTACTTTTTTTTACAATAGTCTATACGATTATGGATCTATTCTGATGGCACCTATGTCAGTAACTAATAAGAGAGATCTCTAAGATACTATTTTCTAATTTAAACAGTATTTCATAAAAATAAGAAAAAAATTAATGATAAGGATAAATCGAATGCTTCGTAGGATCAGATTCACATAGAGTCAAAAAATACATCACATCACTGGATCCTTCAATACCAGATTTCATTATTATTTATGTATTAGTTGAATACAATTTCTGTTAGTGAAACTAATCTGAAGGAAGAATGTATCAGATAAACATCATACGAAAAATAGTAGATAAAGCTGTAAGAACAATTTGTGACTTTGAAACGCTATCGTTGAGATGCAAAGATTTACATTTTGAAAGGAGGGGGGCGGGTTTGCACGTAAAACGGCCCTAAATAAAAATCATCTCAGAACACTTTATAAAATTGAATTTCATCTTCCTCTAAGTAAGAATAAAGCATCTGGACCTCTTTCAGGCCATATTTCAAGACCTCTTCTCGATATTTCTACCTAGGACAGAGGCATTATCAATATTGGAATCCCCCTCACAGGTTAACCGCGTTAGTTTACCAAATCAGTCTCATATTTTCAGGGAAGATAGAGCTTTTCAAGAGCTACAAAATGATCACAAAATGTTAAGTAAAATATGCTGCGCTAGAAAATTTCCAAGGACCACACTGTCCAGGTTCTACAGGAAAACTCATTGTTGGGATAGTATGGTCCGTAAGATCTTGAGTATCGCTCCTGATACCATCGTCATTTTTTCTGCGCTGATAGAACTTTTCAAGATCTTCAAAATGATCACAAATTGTGAGTAAAATATGCTGCGCTCGAAAATTTCCAGGGATCACACTGTTCAGGTTCTACAGAAAAACTCACTGTTGGGATAGTATGATCCGTAAGATCTTAAGTATCGCTCCTGATACCACCGTCATTTATAGTGTGCAGATAGAACTTTTGAAAAGCTACAAAATGATTACAAAATGTTAAGTAAAATATGCTGCGCTCGAAAATTTCCAAGGACCACACTGTCCAGGGTTTGGGTGTGGGTGTGGGTGTGGGTGTGGGTGTGGGTGTGCGTGTGGGTGGGTGCGGATCTGCTTTGGAAGACAGTCTGATGCCCACCCCAACACCCGCACCCACACCCAAACGTCACACACCTACACCCACACCCACACCCATACCGCACATCCACACCCACACCCACACCCACACCCACACCCACACCCACACCCACCCACACCCTAGTTGACTTTGAAAAGTAGCCACGTAGTATCAAACAAAAAGCGTCTAGTGGTAAAAAAAATTCTAGGACAAATATCATTTTATTTACTCATTAGCTTTTCTTGGGTTTGAAAAAAAATGTAAATGAAAAAGCTTGAAAAACTTCTTAGCGTAAAGATTTATTCGTACCGAAGAGTATATTTGTAAGATGTTTATTATAACGAGGTTTTTTCTCTATAACAATACTAGTGGTCTAAAAAAAGCTATCAAAAACTAGTATAAAAAAGAATAAATTATAATCTTTAGCTCGTTTTGAAAAATAAAATAAATTTGGTGAAACAACGCATTTTCGACTGTAATATATCGAACAGCTTGTCACAGACAGGAACAAAAAAAATCTAAACTTTTCAGTAATGGCGAGTCTATTACACACATCACGGATCAAATCTTACCAAAGTTAAAGTTCTAACAGTACCCAGTAGAAATCGCACGCTCAAAATATTTATTATACATGACAAAATCTCTAAAAAAAGTGTCACATATGAAGTACAGATGAACATCAAGGGTTACCCAGCAATCACTGGTACCTGAAACATATACGACCCAAAAAATCTATATTCTTGCTTCAGATATAATGCGATTCTACATCCTTTTCAAAACATTGAAAATAAATAGTTTCAATCCATTAACTTAATACTTTCTTTGAGGCATGAAATATGACCAAAAGTATTGCTAGTAGTAAATGACGTTTATATTTCATTACTCTAGATAAAACACATTTAAAGAACAAATAGGCACAGCATACTTAACATCAGCAACAACTAACTGACCAGATTATTCAAAAACCAACCTCAAAATGGAGGCGCGTTGTATGTTGTTTGAAAATCAGTCTTTTATAAACTCACCTATTCGCAAAATTTTGGAAATCGTATACAGAAAGAGCATACAATTTCAATCCTTACTCAACCATTTGTATTTACCGAAAATACTTTCAAATAGATGAAAAAACAACAAACATTTTATCTGAAAAAATTATCGCTTACGCGTTATTCTTATTGGTAAAACAAAAAAGGTTTCGATCATAATTAAACACGTAATCGACAAAAACTCGAATGGCAATATCTTCCATTGGACAGCTGGATCTTGAAAGAATAACAAATAAATTATGATAAAGATACAGCGTATTTGGAGTTGTTACAATGTAAGAATGACCTTTCAACACTCGGCCGCAGACGTGGTGTTGGAACGCAACGAATGAGTGTTACATTGACAAGTTGCGATGATCGAGAAGGAGCATCAAGCTTCGATTCAGTACAAGGATCTGCCATCAACCAAAATCCAAGTTCTTTTAATTTGTTCATTTTAGCTTGAGCACCTGTCAAGCAGATTGTATGCACATATAGAACATCTTGATTACATGAGTTCATAGTATTGTTTGGAGGGCACAGGTCTCCATATCGAGCAAATGATGATGGATAGGTTAATACCGCAGCCATTTTACTTGTTTGGTTATTAATTCGAAGCGTGTTATTAGAAGTGCGATGCATCGGCAAGGTTTTGACATCATTACAGGACTCTTTCGAATTACAAATCTGATAAATCTTTCCCTTCATATTTGCTAGTGCTTGTTGATCGTTATATGTTTGGTAAAATCTGTATGAATCTATCCATTCTTCAAAAAATGCAAGAACTCTCTCATTAGGTCTAGCATAAAATTGTCCTGTGTTGATTGGATTTTCTTTCATGAATATGAGATCCGCTTCGGTTTCCTCAATCATTAATTCAAACGTTTTCCAAATATCTTTGGCAGCATAGCTTATATCTAGATCGCTTTTCATTATTGTAAAACCTTTTCGAAGAATATCCAAATAAAGCGGAAATAAATACCATACAAGAGCTAAATAGTATGCATCGTTAATAGTAGCTTCATGTTCCATCGACACATTTTTTTGTAACTTTAACATATATGACGTTGCATTATAGCATGGAAGATTTAGCTCAATGCAGACAAGTAATGATAATTCATCACCTGTCACAATAATATAGTTCGATGTTCGAGTAAATCTGACTATGGTAAATATGTTATTTTGGACCATGGCTTGCCAATGCCGACTAAATCCAATAATCATAATTTTTTTCGATTTATGTGACATTGTTCTTAGTAATGCATCTAAATTGTTATGCATTCCTAGATAAGGGAAAAGTGTTCGTAATTTCGGAAAAAGCCATGGTGAACTTTGTGCAATATTTAATAGTTCTTGTAATCCACTTTGATTTTGTTCCATCAAGTTTGATAAAAACATAGTAGTTGATTCAATACTTTGCTGGAACCCATTTAATTTTGTCAACGTCTGATTTTCTATCCTATGTATATTCATAGTTTTGGTAGAAGTTCTTATTGATGCGAATATCATAAGTATTATGGCAGCCAACACGAGAAATATCAAATTATTTGACTCTTTAATCATCGTATAGACAAAAATCTAAAAGGAAATGTCAAGTTTTTAAAAATTTTTATCATTATTCGAAACATTGAGTAGTTTCTCTGAATGTCTAATGCATTTTTTGAGTGTCTGTTATTTCCTACACTGAAAAGCTATGATTTTCAAACAGTAATTGAATCCTTTTGTCTATGAGTATGTCTGTTTTTAATGCGTTTTTTGAATCCGTCATCTGTTTCATGTTGAGTTAGGTTTTATTGATTTCCATAGATTTCAAAGTTTTTAAGTTTTCGAGAAACATGATCGAAGACGTGTCCTCAAATAAATAGGAAAAAAGTTGGTTTTTCTTCGTGCAGAGTCTGTATGTTTGTCAATATTTGGTCAAAGTTAATGTTTTTATAAAAATCTTTGGAAAAAATATTGAGAATCGATGTTTTTACGAGTAGTTGTGACTGTTTGCATCGATTAGCGGCGTTGTGAATGCGCAAATGTCTCTTCACCGATACTGGCAACTTCTTCTATCTGGCTTATACTGTTTCCTATTTTCCAATAGTCATTATTAAGCTTTCCTTTCTCTATTTTCTTTTACTTTTCTTCTCTTTATTATTTCTTATACGGTTACTGTTGTTTTATCTGCCTTCTCGTGACCCTATTCTACTTATCATATTCGTCTGAACATATCCGAATTGTCTCGAAAACTTTCTCCATTGTTTTTAAGCTATGTCTCTCTGTTTTTGAGTTATTTATCTAAAAAATTGTCTTCTTTTTCCGATTTTACAGTCTGTTTTAGGGTAAGCTTCTTAAGGTGGGTCAATGTCATTTTCAATCGTTGTATACTCTTATAGTCAACTTCAATGGTTACACTTAGATAATATCTTTCTGCGAAAGTGCATGATGATCCACAGTTATGTGAGAACTGAGTTGGATTCAGAACCGTTTTATTGTATCTAATTACCACACTTTATCTTAAGAGACTTTTTCAGAACATATCATTTACAACATTTCACTCATGCCTTATTTTCATAAATAATAGTTTCTTAGAGAATTTTTAAGACAAGTGATGTAGCAAGGTGTTTTAAACAATAATCATACTTCATATAGGATAGTCTCTTTACTTTTGAATCTTCCTTTTAAGAAAGACAACCTGTATTCGATCATCATGCCTCACAAATTATGATTGATGAAACAAGAAAACATGAAAAAGACATGTAAAATTTTCAAAGCTATGCAAACATTAAAACTTATCAGACAAAAAGTAACAGCTTATACAGTGTATCATCAAGGATCGAATGAAAGTTGATCTTTTTCTAATACAAATCGGCATTAAGGTCTTCCGATAGAGGTAATTTCATAAACTTATTTTCAGTAAAATATTTGTTTAAAAAATTGTTTGACGAAAAAGCCTGTTAATAAAATATATTTGTCATATTACTGAAACGTCAGACGAAGGAAGAAAAGAATACCAACGAAATATAATCGAACCTTTTCTCTACAAAGAGGTCCAAAGAAAACAAACAAGGGTTCGATATAAAACATGTCCTTAAACTGCTGAACTATTCTAATTCATAACAGTTCATTGGCATCAGTCAGAACCATGTATGAATCATTTTATGTTTAAGATAATTCATGAGAATATGTGAATTCTTCTAAAACGAATTATTAATCTACTCTTAGACCTTATTGTTCACAAAAACTATTGATAAAGTTTAGTTCTTATTTCAAGAAATAACAGTTTTGAATTGGTTTTTTCTTGGTTAGACGAGAAAGCTAAGGTGTTCAAATACGTCTTTCGAACTTTTGACAAAGAGAACTGGGCATCTTCTCATAGAGTAATCAGTTTACTAAGTGTTTCATAAAACTTCATCATTTTCTTCAAAAAAAATCAGTAGTTTCCTAATATCAAACCATTTTTCGAAAAAAAATCGATTAGTAGTCGTGATGTTTTTCTTAGCCTCATTGGTTTCTTACTTTGAGTTTGTGAATGAACCTTGAAACTGTCAATGAGTGTAGTCAGTTGTTGCTCATATACTTAAATTAAACTATCGAATTTTGAATTAAATAGTTTCTTATTTTTCTGGATTATTTTAGTTAAGAGATCCATTTATGGATCAAATGTTTAGCTTCATAGAAAAGACTAAGAACTTGAAAATGATGAATCCGCTGGAAAAATCGGAATTTGTATTTGTTCTTAATATATTACAATCTGTTCTAATATCTATGATACTGACTCGAATTCTTGCTTGTATGAACCTTAAGTTCTTGACAGAAGCTGTTTGAAGACCGCGATACTCAAGGGGGAAACGGCGTATTTTTGGGATTGGCAATTCATGAAAAATCCGAAAAAAATCCCAAAATCTACCAGTAATGTCCTCTTATAAATGAAGGAATTTCGAGCTGAAATTTTTATCATATGTAGCCCTCGTGGTCCGTAAAACATCCTAAAAGTTTCAATGTAAGCAAATATTTTCTTCTTAAGATAATCCAATTTCAAGAAAAGTGGATTATCTTACCGTGCTGCGGAATATGAGTATTTCTTGCGATTGCATTATTTTCAGGAGAAAACATCCGTTTGCGCCAGAACTTTTAGAATATTCTAAGAGCTACAAGACCTACATATCATAAAAAATTCAGCTCGAAATTCCTCCATTTTCAAGAGGACATTGCTGGTGGATTTTCGGATTTTCAAAATCCAAAAAATCCAAAAAAATCCGAAAATTCAAAATCCGTCATTTTCCCCTTGACAATGCTATTGCATGTAGTCGAAACAATCTCAATCAAATTCGATGAATCTGTAGTTGCCATTATTTTATTCACTATTGTAGAAGAATTATGTCTATCAATGAAAAAAAAGCATAGAAAAAAAAACATGATTGAAGGAATCATTTTAAAAAGTAATGTGTTTTTTGGTTGCTTCTACTAGTAAGTAGTACACGAATAAAGTCTTTTTTTCTTTCTTCCTTCCGCTGTTCTTTTCTCTTCACTATTTGTTTTATGTGCGCACGAAGAGTGCTGCTTTTTCTTACAAAATTTATTAAGTCAACTTTGTGCTTTTTTCTATGTTTACTGTAATTCAAACTCTATGGCTCAATTATTGACACATGTAATGCACATTATATTGACCTACAGAATCATGCTCCAACATTGAGAATATTGCTAGCCAAAGTACCTCATGGCATGCAGATTCTAAAATATTTGTATAGAGCTTTGAATCACGACCATATCATCACATTTTCATACGAGATTTCCAAGCAATTGTCTCATACTTCATGAATTGTGTCCAACTGAGACCTTAAGTTTCATTGGCTCTGAAGTTCTGGATTAGAGGAGAAGAGAAGGCAAAAAATCTTATATCGATCCTTTGTGAACACGAATATGGCTCATTCTCAAAAGAGATACTTTTTCTCCTAAACCTTTCTACTATATTTTCTCTTCAGCCATTTAATCCTTTCATATAGCTATTTTATCATTGTATAGCTAATTAAATATTAAACAAGTGTTTTACGCTAATGAACAGCTATTTAATTTTTCCATGAATATTTAAATTTTTCTTCAGCTATTTATCCTTTTGATATGGCTATTTAATTCTTCTATACCTGTTTAATTATCGAGCAACTATTTTGTGCTACTATGCGGCTACTTAATGTTTCTATAACTATTTAAAATTTTCTTCTGCTATTTAATCTTTTAGTGGTGCTATTTATTTATTGTATAGCTATTTAATCTTTGAACAGCTGCTGTATGTTTGTATACACGTAAGACCTTGGTGAAAAGTAAACACTATGATTTTAGCATAACTTTGTAATGGGTGTGGGTGTGTGCGGATGTTCGACTTTTCTCCACTTGCAGTCACACCCGCACCCGCACCCGCACCCCCACCCACCCATCTGCCTCCGCACCCACCCCCCCACCACCCCCCCCCCCCCCCCCCCCCCCCCCCCCCCCCCCCCCCCCCCCCAAACACAGCCCCCCCCCCCCCCCCCCCCCCACCCCACCCCCCNAAACAACATATTAAAATATACAGTTTGATTTCTTCTCCATTAACTTCAATTTTCAAGCCATTAGTGTGCTTTATTTTCACAAGTAGCACTCATCTTACAGACTAACTTGCCGTTTTCTGAAAACATTCGACTAAACTCTGAAAAAGACAAATTGATAAGCTGTTCCTATACTGAAAGAATAGGGTCTAGAAACTGAAGTTTACATTCGTCTGTTTGTAATTTAATTTCCGTAGGTAACTATGGCACAAATTCTATGATGAAAAACGACAGAAAGGAAAAATGTAAAAGGGAAAAAACAAAAAGAAAAGGATTGAAAAACATCTCCAAAAGAAAACTGTTTAGAGAATGAAAAAGTTTAACATGAGCATTTTAACCAATGATAAAAATAATATTGAATACAAAAATAAGAGAACAACATCATTCATAAGGTAATTGCCATTATATATAAATTAAGAAAATGTCCGAGCAACAAATGAAAATACTGAATCATTTTCTTTTTGAGGGTGTGGGTGCACTGTTGAGGAACAGTACAACACCCACACTCTTCCTTGATCGGGAAGACCAAGATCAGGGTGATCCAGAGGAAACGAACTCATTTGAATTTGCAAGCATTTATTGAATGCAATCAAGACATCATCGTACTGGCACGCGAAAATATGAGTGAGGCTTACCTGTCTTCAATTAGTAGCAATTTTTGGATCTGTGAATGATAGAGACAAGCCTGCCAAATACTTCGTGCAGTTTGGTAGTTAATTAATGCATCTGAATATTTGCTTATATCTTTGAGAAGATTTGAAATGTCTTCATAAGTGTTGGCGAGATTTGATTGGCCAAGTAATAAGGATTTTATTTGAATTATCAAAAAATTTTGAAATTTGGATAAAGCATCATCATACTTTCCGCACTCTTGATGTTCTAAACCTCATGCTTTAGAAATTGTAATGATATATTATCTAAAAGATTTATATCAGAATATTTGACAAAGTTGTTTAATTCATATGTTATCAAGCCATTGCATTGGTCAAATGTGTTTAACGCATCATCATAGTTGTTTTGCTCTGCATATACAAACGCCATACAAAACAGACAATATAATCCGAGAGAATGTGAATATTCAAAGTGTTGGACTGCAATTTCATAACTTTTTCGCAAATTTTGTAAAGTTTCAAGCAGATTGTTTTGCCTATGATACCAGTTTCCTAGAATTAACTATGTCAATCTTAAATCAGGATGTTGAATTGAAAGATGTCCTGTTAGAATATTAAACTATTCACGGATTGTAGTATGATCTTGAAAATTCTTCAAAAATTGAATTCTGTTGAATTTTTATTTTAAAATCACCCTAATATAGTCAATGGAGATTGAGCTTCTGACATTTAAGTTCGACTGAGTTCAAAACCACTCGGTGTGATAAAGTTCGATATAAAAACTGAAATCTGAGAGTAAGTTTAGTACATGCCAAGAGAAATGTATGCGTGATTGTTTTATCAGATCAGCAACTGGTTGAGTTCATACATTTTCAATCTTAATTTTTCATTAATCTTTAGATTATGACAATACCAGCGAAATCATTGCTCTATGCTTCATAGAAAAGAATGAATTCCTCACTTTCTCACTATATATAAAAATTCATTAGACAAACGAAATGCATCAATATAAAAAAAAAGGGGGCACGGTTTCATTTGGCGAGCACTGTCATTATTCATGTTTCGATTTTTTTTAATTGTCCGAAAACATCCAAACAACACGTGTTCGGTCTACACATGGCGTGATATGTGATCGTTTAACATATGTTTAACATGATCATATACTTTTAGTAGAGTGTTAGCGACATTCGCGTCGTATTACTTGTTATATATACATTGAATACTTCTACCTACCAGAGTAAAGGTAAATGTACGTTAATATCGAAGTAATTGTATTGTCGTATCCAGCTTTCTTTCACAGTCCAAACACTCGTCATATCACACTAACTTAGAATAAAAATGATTCCCGTAAATTACATACAAGCTATGCGGTAGTATAGTTCTTTGAAGTTTTGCACGAAATAAATGAGTCTGAAAACTAAGACTAAAAATGCTCTTGAAGCATCTGTTTATCAGACCTTTTTTTTATTAATCATGAGAAGCATAAAGGTTTTCGTATTACAGAAATTCTCAAAGAAACTTCATGGTAAATTTAGAAATGAAATCTAATGAACTTATCATACTACAAATGTTTTTTAATAAATTACTATAGGATGGTTTATCCTTGTTAGGGTTCATGATTTAGCATTTACGTATTCTTGGTAAACATATAATGAAACAACATAAATAATATAGGATTACATTAGTTATGAGACATTTATAATGAATGAAAACATATGCTTCTCATGACCTTTAAGGAGACGATTAGAAAGAAAAGATTTACATACATGCGCATACTGTATCACTCTTATTTTGACATTCTCAAAAATCAGAATAAATGATACTGATATCTTTTCGAAAACAATTCTTCATAGCTGAATTATTGCTATAAGTCTGTTTTCAAATAGCACTGCCACTTTCTTTAATTTTTTATCAAATCTTTCTATACTCAATTCCATTGTTTTAAACAAGAAATTTCTTTCTTTCATATCTAAATTCGTGCACTGACATACGAAGAAAAATAGAAAACAGTTTGTGCTTAATTTTGTTTTATTTTATTTAATTACTATATTAACAAGATTATAAGCTGGTACATTACGGGATTACAACAGTGAATCTTTTGATGAAAATTTTGATTAAAAATCATCAAAAGGGAATTATGAATATAATGGTGAATACTACAGGAATCGTTAAACATTCATGAGCGATTCTAACTATTGTGGTTGTACTTACCAACAAATTACATGTACAGTAATGAACTGTCGTACGACAGTACCAAAGTAAAACATACAATACGTTGAAGTTGTAAGCTTTACTTTCTTTTCATAATTATGTCAATGAACGATAGAATATTGATTCAGGAGCTATTTCATCATCCAAACAGCAAAGATATGTGACTATATCGAGATTAGGAAAAATCAAGCGCAAGTTTTGTTTTTAATATATCATTTTTACAATTGATGCAAGACTGCCATTTCAAACACCCTTCGAAAAAGCAGATATTTTTAAACATCACTATATATATAAATAACTAATAAAGAAGACTGCTCAAGTTTTGTAAAAAAAAAAAAATATATATTTTTTTGTCATTCTAAAGTGTTGCGTTTTCGATTCATCACAAACGACATTACAAGTTTGCCAGTCTAATCTTACTGTTGTACCAGTCATAGCTATAGGCTTCCAAATGAAAAGGATTAACTATTCGATAGTGATCTGGTTTCGACTAAAAAAAGGTCATTGATTGAAGCTAAGATATCAGTAAAACAAAACTTTCTTCGCCATCAATTAAATGGGATTAAAATTGAAAACTGTTCTGAAGTGATGCATTTTTGAAGACTAATTACGGATAATCCCATTTTATCATTATTCAGTGTGCGTGCCATAATTCGCCACATGTGTATTGAGGAGTCAAAATTTTTCCAAACACATATTCCTATATAGAGAAAGATGTTGTTCAAAACGAGACGTTGCTGAGCTATGTGTGATATTTCCGTTAAACGTTAGAAGCATTTTTCTGAGAACTTTAAAAAATCTGCGTTTTCTTTTCTTCTTTTCGTTATTTCGTCTTATCATTATTTTTCTATTGTAGCATTGCGTAAATTCAAGATTGATTCACTGTTTTACGTAATAAAAATCTGAGATTGGTCTTTACATGTAGAAATAAAGAATACTACCATAAATTTTCGAAAATTCTATTTTTCATCCTCAACGTCTTTACACGGTAATACTTGGAGATAGGGAAAATAATTTCAAAGATTCTGGAAACGCTCTATTCGACTTTGTCAAAATCTGCGAGACTCTTGTTTTGTATTCTAGTATTCTTTTTAAAGATTCAAAGATTTTCTTTGTTTCAAATTGCTTTATGTATCGAACCGATGTTTTGTTCGTGGCAGACTATTTGCCACAGAAGATCCATTTCATCGTACTTATCAAAGTAGGAGCCTTGTCAAGTGACCGATGCTATTTGAGCTTATATTCTACCATTCCAAGGCAGACAAGTGAACGAGAAAGGCAATTTTGGAACACCATGAGTTTCACTGTTTAAACAGGGTGATATCCCCCCTCCCCCCCCCCACCAAATGCGTTTAAACTACTAGTTAAAAACGTTTAGTTGTTTAACACGCTATTACCGTTTAAATGCGGTATTTGGGATATATAAAAAAGTTTAACAATTTGGATGGATGCGGTTACGACTGTTACTGTGATTGCTCTATTTAGTCACAACTACACTCTCTCAAAATGTCCCATCGTTCTGAACTCGTGTTTTCGGGGTTATATGAAGTATCAAAAAGAATAGTTTCTTTCTAGAAGAGCTCGTGCCCATGTATCGTCTGCAAAGATAAAGGTCCGTTTCACTACGGTTTTGACTGATGCTCGTAGATCTTTGGAACAATTCGAATGAGCGAATTTCGAGCTGAAAATTTGCACATGATCAGCTCTAATATCTATATATTTTGATAAAGAGAACGGTTTTTTTAGCTACTGAATACCTTGAAGACAGAACACTTATTTAAGCTGAAATTACCAGGTCTTTCTTATAGATATTATTGAAACTCGNGCATAGCAAAATAGAGCACTCTTTTCTCTATTAGACTATATAGAAAGAAAGTTTTTTTTAAGCTTACTATATGGCTATGTAACGTCGTGATCAGAACTTTTGGTACACCCTAAGTATATAGGACAATTATTGACAGATGAAACTGCATAAACAGGAATCATTAGATGAGCAGATATTCTATTTACGGGAAGGAAAAGAAATTTAACTGGCAAAATCCAACTAGAATGATAATATATGTTTATTTTGTTGTAGGCATCAATTCGAATATTATAAGTTTTTGTCATATTTTTTGGGTCGTGATTTATATAGAAGATAAATAAAAAATTTATTTTCACATTTATATGTAGTCGTATATGTTAGTTGTTCATGATCATGAATAATATTATCTTGATCTATCAAAGTAATAATAATACCAAATATTCCTTGACAATTAGTTTTACACACCTGAGAAAATTGAAGTATTAAACTAACACGTTGACTTTGAAATTGGCATCGATCTCCATAATAACTTGGAGGACAAAGACAATGTATTTTCATTGGAATTCCAACATAAATCCCAATCCCACGATTACATGCAACACTTCGATCATTCTGAAATTGTTTGTTTAATATCATATTTTCTTGATTCATAGTCAATTCAGTTAACGAATTTGATTGTTCAGAAGATGTTTTCAAATCAAGCATTGCTTGAGTTGGATGCAAGAGAAAAATTTTCTGTATGATTAATGAAAATACATTTGTCTGTGAACGTTCAATCATAACATGTTCATACTCAGGAAATCTAAGATTGTTATCTTCACCTAGACGGCTGATAACACCTGTAATATCATTTGAACAGTTATGTAAGCGTTCGAAATAACATAGTTTCTCCTTGCAAAAATATTTATCAGAAACACATATTTTTTCATTCCAGCACTTATATCTCAATTCAGGATTCTTTGGATGTGTTAATCGACAAAATGTTTTTTCATCTGTAGATCCAAGACAATCGACAATTTCATTTCCAGCTTGATGAACAGGTAGACAAATGATTTTCTTTGTTATCGGTGAGATGCATTCATGAGTATCTCGAGGACAATTTGTTAACATACAATTTAATTCATCAGCTCCATTTAAACAATTCCAAGCTCCATCACATCGAATATATAAATTATTACATGGTCAATAATCACAATGTGTTTCATCTGTTTCATGCATTCCATCGATAAGAACAGATGACATATGTACATATCCATTACATAATTTTTGATATACTATTTTTGTAGAAATATTTGAAAGTTCATCTTCATCTTCAAGACAATCTTTTACAGAATTTCGAATTTGAACATCTGATATACATTTATTTTCTGATAAAAATTTAAAACGATGTTTATGATTCCATTGACATATATCGATATGCATCTTTATAACAAACATGAACATCAACGAAAACTCGATGTTTTGAAATATTTTTCGTTGTGCCTGGACAATGAAACAATGATGACAATTGTGAATAATTAATTTCAAGTTCATTTTCAATCACAATCAAGCAACCTTGAAAAAGATTAGTAATATCAATAAATTTTGACGAAGACCTAACTCTTCTGTTGTTCGACATGTTGTACCATTTATTTTTAAAATGGAAATAGATAGAAGAAAAGGACATTTTCTAACATCATAGCAAACATAATCAGAAAACATCGCTGGCTCATCTAAAACATAATAGATTATTTTGTTTGCTAAATAGACGAGTAATACATGTTCTTGAAGAATAGGTCGCTGAGGAAAAATAACAAAATTTGTTTGACATATGGTTGTAATATTAATAGAACAAGCATATTCATCATTGTAATCACATAATTTACTACAATCTAATTCATCGTAGTAGCCTGCAGAACATTGCAGAAAAAGCCAACATTCATATGACAAAGCAGAATCTTCAACATATGCAAATAGAGATTCCTTCATACGTAAATCTCGGAAAGTATTACAAACCTGTTTAACCGGAATAGAGGATGTAGAAACATAAAATATCTGTGTATCACTACGTTCTCCATCACCACATACAAAAAAAAACGAGGGATTTTAGCGTAGTCTGTCTCTTCGCATCAAAATTCTGGTTGTTCTGCACAAATGAACAAAGAAATTTTCTGTATATCAGAAAAAATCATATAATTGCCTTCATCAGTTCCATCCAAACAATCAGAATAGTATTGACCTTCGCCCATGAATTCTTCTGGTATAAATATTCCATTGTGACAACGAAACTCGTTTTCTTCACATTCATTCAATTCAAGTTCGAATCAATTAATTTTATCGATGTCATTTCCAATACAGTCGACTTGGGTGTGGGTGTGGGTGTGGGGTGTGGGGTGTGGGTGTGGGTGCCGGTGTGGGTGTGAGTTAAAGAATTACATACACGCACACCCACACGCACACGCACACCCACACCCACACCCACACCCACACCTTACTTGTATGTGTACAAGACTGTGTAACAGATTTGAAACTCTTTTGTTTATGTTCTTTTTTTGTTTTTGATTTTCTCTCTTCGAATTCTTTTGGTACTATGAGTTCATATGTATTATTTTTAATCACTATTCCGTTTTACATAATTCATTCATTCCTAATATATATTTTTTCCTTCATTGAACTAGTACATTTGACTGTTATGCACTTTCATTTCATTGCATACCAAATTTTAATGCTATACGTTGTTTATGCCTATGAGAATGTCGAGACATTTATCCACATTAAATTTGAACTTCAAACGTTAATTATCTAAGATTTTGTTCATCGATCACAGTCACAGAAAGAATAGCTTCAGGTGCAGTGTGTTGAATAGGACTGTGGGGATTTCCCATTTCCTAGAGTTCTGCTCCCAGAAACGGAACTCGTAGCGGATTCTGGGAACCCATTTGAAAATTCATTTTCACGTGTTTCTGATTATATTGAGACTTATAGTCAAGCCGGCATGGGTTCCCGGTAACGGAACCAGAAACTGACAGCCCTAGTGTTGAACTACTCGAAGTGAAACATTGGTTTTTATTCGGTGATATCAAGTGGCGGTAGTAATGTTATTTCTTAGAATTTATTAGATCGTTGTTTTTTTTGTCTAACCAAGCAGTAAAAAAACCTTTGCAGCATTGCAGAAAGGGTCTCACAGTCGTGATCACGTTGAACTGAACTGAACGAAATCAAAATATGTTTTTTTGTTACAGTTTTACATGAGCAACCTGAATCAGTCACAGCTGACCCTCATTGATTGGCCTTTTCTCGAATTTTGCAAAGTTCAGAAGTGCTACTCTTCGTTTGAGCTTAAGAATCGATTTTTGAAATCTCCATTATTCCAAAATGATTTTGCTGCGACAAGCAAACGAGAAAGTTAACAGAAAATGTCTGATAGATAATAGTGCATGACATAATGGTAAGAGAATGTGGATATGCGGACGAGGGGGAAAGTTTGAAGATCTGATTTTATCTCACCCCCACATACCGACACCAACAGGAACTCGAAACTCTTCAAAATCGACATGGTTTTTTTGGAAAAGTCTTTTTATTAAAAGTTATGAAAATAAATGAGTCATAATAGAGAAGATGCACTCCTGAAAAGTTTATATGTTTGGGTATAGTAAAAGAGCATTAATCTTCTATTGCGAGGAAGTATTCACTCGTATTAGATAACTAGTTTGTCCAATGAATTTTTTATTTTAATTTGTCGCATCTAATGATTGTCTTTACGTGTTTTCTTCTTTTGGACGCAGACTATGGATGTAGTTTGTGCATGATAATCTCTACGTACGATTTCTATTTATGAAATAAAACGCTTCAACATAATAGAAAGCATACAAAATATTTATATATCGCCTAATGGAAGTAGAAAAATGAAGCCATAAGCTGCAAAAAAAGTTGTAAATAGAATAACATATGGCGGAATTACGACCTTACTACTTATCTTCTTTGAGTGAAAACGAACTTAAAGAACGTCCTTTGCGTCATGATCAAAAAATGTTCTCTGATATAGGATGATGTATCACGGCAGAAAAACGACTATGATTTTGCAGCGTTCACGAGAAGTCTTGAGTTATTTTATTGTCTTCTCTAACGATCAGAATCTTTTTCGTGGGTTAGTTTTCGCACATCCTCCATATTACAAGCCTACTTCAAATGTCTGCTTAACATACTGAAGTTGTGTTTTTCGTCTCATTGAGTAATTCCAAGTCTAGTACTGAATAAATACAGAAGAATCTAAAGAGTTCAAGTTATGTGAATCTTCTTTCAATCATTATCAATGACTATGAGTATTATCAAGCAAAAGACAAATTCTTTTTTCCAACACAAAAGAGTTCAAATCTTTCTTTGACTTAGATAATAAAGGGAAAGAAAATGAAATCAATTGCAGTGTTATATATTACCGAAAACGAAGCTGATCTCCTCCCTACTAATTTTAAAATGACTACACATTCCTCTATACCTTATAGTTGATCATAATTTCACTATCTGATGAAATGTTTTCAAAACGGAGAGATCTACGGCGATGTATTTTGCATTATAATGCATCAATAATTTACGTGCAATTATTTGTTAACAGAAATGAGCAAATAAAATGGTTGTTCTCTTCTTGATCAAATCTACTTTTTTATATGCGTCATACTTCTTAACCTTTTCATCTTGGAACAATTCAAATCTAGGAATATGTACTATTAGTTATCATTAATGCGTTTGGCATTGCTCTATAGTTTCGTACGGACGACACATATATGAGCCGTACCAGTCGTTGAAAGATTAATAAAGCTGACTAGAAAGAAAAATTAATTCATGTTAATTAATTCCGTATTTGATTATTTTGCTTGACAAAAAGAATCTCTCCCTGAAAGAGTTAAAATACATTCTTACTTTTTCAATAAGCTATTCCACTCATAAATATTTAAAAAAGTCATGAGTGGAATATTGCTTTTGTGTTGTTCAATTTTGTCAGAACTACATAGAAAATTTTCTTCCAGGCTAACTAAATATTTCTTTAATAAAAGATAAATATTTCGTTTCTTTTTATTCTTTTATAAAAACAACTTTTATATATCATTGCATCTACTTTTACAAATGATATCATAAGTTTGCCGTTACAACTGCAATAGTCTAATACTGAAACACTCAATACAAAAGATATGGCACATATATTTAATAATATTAAATAGTAAAGAAAAAATCTTGAACTTCGATGTTATGTTCATTATAAATAGTCTAGTCAAATGCTCCAAAGAATAATATAACTGAAAAGTTGAACATGATCTAACAATCCCCATAATCAAATAATCTTCATTGGAGAAAAGTTATTTGATCAATCAATGTAAAGCTTGACTCATTCACAATATTAATGTTTTCTCTAATAATTTTTCTTGCAAGGGGCCTCACAAAGAGGATACACATATGACTTTATGACATTATCCGTCTTTTTGTGGTAATACAACGTAAGAAAGATGACTCTTAATTTTCAAACATGAATGCATGGGTAAAATTGATGTCATAATCTACTGGAATAAGTACTATACAACAGCTATTAAACATTCTTTTTAAATACTCTTATTTTGTCACATCGATTGTTGCATTCGGTCTTCGACTGACATTCTGGGTGTGGGTGTGGAAGTAAATATTAATCCGTTCGTATTTCCCACCGTGACCCAAATTCGCATCTACCCATACCCTGATTTGAAGGAAGAGTTTTTAGTCAGATTTCTAGTACTTTTTGATAATATGAAACAGTGGTGCAGAATCTGCCGTGATTTTAAAAAATTTCCCCGCACAATGGTGTCTTCCCCCAGCTATTTCCCCAAAATCCTCCTATGAATCGAAAATTTTCCTCACACGGTCGTACGCGCACACAAGTAGATTCTGCACCTCTGATATGAAAGTGCACTTGAATAAGCACCCATGCTTTCATAGGCCAAGCCAATGTTAGTGTAAGAAATAGCAAAGTAAGTGTCCGTCGGTGAGAGAATCTTCTCATTGATTTCAATGGTTTGTTTATAATAAGCAATAGCATCTGCATATTCACTTTGTCCCTGCTTGACCTCTCCAAGCATATTGTAAATTGTTGATTTTTCACGATCAACCGTTGTGTGATCAAGCAGTATATCACACACCCCGTTAGCTTTGTCGAACGGTCCAAGTTTAATTAGCAACATACTCAAACGATTCCATCCTTCTGCATCAGGATAAGTCTCTTGGCGGATTTGTTCAGTAAGTGCATGAAGTTCTGGATCGTTGTCAGTAGTTAGTGTTAAGTCAACTTGTCAAAGACGATTATTTCCATTGATTTGTTTTATTTGTCCAATACGAAAGATGAAATGCATGGAGAAGAGTGTTTCTTCTTCTTCTTTAAAATAACTGACGTCTTTGATGTTTCCGAAAGCAGTAGTCGATGTTGAGAGATCGATAAT